GTACAGTGGAACTTAAAGCAGTGCCTCAGTGTTTAGCATACAGTGGACATGGAGGAGAACTGTTCCTAGGTGTCAGTGGGGATCTGTATAAGTTGCGATGTGCACGGTCCCTACCAAAGGATTACAGAGAAAGGGTACAACAGACAGCTGATTCTTGTGTTCTAAACCAAAGCAGAAAAAAATACAGCTATGATACTTTATTTTTTTCTTATTTATCCAGCTTCGTCTCACCTATGAAGTTGAGCCACTTCCTGACTTACCTATTCCTAGGACCAAAAACATATTCAACCTAATGCAGTAGGATTCATTCATCTTCTGTATTAACAACATTCCTAAGGATTATAAACTCTGAGAAATATTCTGTACTCTAGGGCCTCAAAAGATCGTGCAAAAAAACTACAAGCAGTCACCAACAATCAGTTAATGAGCGGAGATGTGAGCCAGGGCAAGGTGTGTGTATAGATCTGACAATGGATATAGGACGCAAAATGCTTTTATTCAAAAGCCTATCCTTTTTTCCCTCAACATTTTCCAGAAAAAAATAGAGATATTAAACATGGACCTCAAGGCGCTTGTGGAAGGCACCGTCAGATGTAAAAAAGCGAAACCTCCAAAAACACAACAAAACAGGAAAGAGGCCTTTAAAAACTACATGAATCTAATATATGACTTTCCAACAATTAAAAAGGTACCTGATTTACTTGGTTGTCTGCAATAATTTAAACAAACTATTATTATTTACATACAGAAAGTGTCTGTTTTATTGAATGATGAGCACATTTCCATGTGATATAGCGCCTTACGTTACAAATGGTCTGATGTTCTATTTACAGATTGATTTGGATGACGTTTTTGATCCTGATGAATTTTCATTTAACATTGAAATGAAGAACATCAAACCTTGTTTATTCCCTGAGCTAAAAGAGGATGTCCTCCTTCAACACAAACAGGACATTCCTGAAAAGGTAAGGAAAGAGATGGTATGAACTTTTCACACTTTAGGCAAAAAGCATTCTTGGCAGGCTTTTGACTGACCTTAGAAAACACAAAAATGGCTGTTGTCAGTCATTTTTACAGCATTCCTTCAAGGAATGCTAGACCTTCAATTTAATATATCTATTAGTAAGAATATTAATAAGCCAATTATTATTCTGTCTTTGCAGCAACTGAAGCAGGAGAAAGAGGCTCCAGTGGCTGTCACAAATGTCACATCTAAGAAATCCCCCGGAGTGAAGAAGACCAAAGAAGTATAAGCATGCAATGTTTTTACTTTGACATGAAAGTGACAGGCACTATTACTTCAAGGAATGCTAGGCCTTTACAGTACTTTAGTAAGAAGATTAATAAGCAAATTATTATTCTGACTTTGCAGGAACCGAAGCAGAAGGAGAAAGAGGCTCCAGTGGCCGTCACAACTCTCACACCTAAGAAATCCCCAAGAGTGAAGAAGACTGTCCAGGTGAAGAAAACCAAAGTACGTATAAGCATGCAAGGTTTTTACTTTGGCATGAAAGTGACACTATTTCTTCTAGGAATGTTAGGCCTTTACTTTATTACATGTTAGTAACTAGACTATAAAGCAATTTGTTATTCTGATAGGAGCAGGAGAACAAAATTTCAGTGGGTGTCATGAAAGTTACGCAACTGTTTCAGCTTGTTCTGTCTCATGACTACAAACCGAACGGTTGAGCATTACCCTGCTCACAGGAAACTTTTATTGAACTCTGAACAACAGTAACAGTTACATGTCTCATCATACATTTGTGTGTGTCACACTCTATGTAGATGTATATATGTATTGTGTAACCATATATGTATGTATATACATGCATATTTAAATATAAATGTGTGTATGTGTACTCATGTATGTATGTATATGGACAGTAGATATATTTTATTATGTAGACTGCTGTCTATGAATAGGGTAGGCACGTATAAACCTTGGCTTCAGCCTATTCCTTTTTTGGTAAATTATTGATTTGTAAAATGGTATTTTATATTGTTTTCCTCCTTTGTAATGTGGTTAATTTACCAAAAATAAAGTTGGGTTGAGATGAACACTAATCGGTTCTACTGGAACACATTACATATAAGCAATTCTCGTTGCTACAGCCACCGCTGGCTGAGAACGTCACAACCAAGACATCGTTTGGATCTGGAGAAGACAAAAAATCAGAAACTCCTTGTCCCAGGATCCCATCACCTCTTCCACAGAGGGAACCTTCACCTGAAGTGCCAACGTTCCTGAAACAGTTTGTAGACATGGAATGGTTTAATCACTTATACCCTGTCAAAAAGGTGAACAAGAAAGCAGAAAAAAAAAGTTTACCATCTCTAGTGATAAATGTGGTTCAAGCTTAGATGTTTGTACGTGTGCAGAGTATCCCAAGAAACTTGTCTGCAGAGGAATTCTCCCTTCGGCTACTGGACTATCTGCAAAACTGCAGCACCACGACAAAGATCAACATCCTTGCTGTAATGCAGGACTTGCACAGCCAGGGTCTCCTCTACAACACGGACGAGCTGTACACCGGCCTCATCGACTCCACGCACAAATTTACAAGACCCCACATGGTACTGTAGGATGCAGACTTTCTCTGCATAGCTGAAGCTTTTAATCATGAGAACAATGTTTGCATTCGTTTTAGACACCTTTAAATTGCACGGTGATTGTGGACATGCTGAATTTACTGGTGCGTCTGAAGACCAAGATCAGTTATGATCTCGTGAAAATACTTCTAACTCTCCTAGCCTATAAACAACTTGACCTCCGGTGAGCCTCCTAACATTTTACTTTACATGTAAGAACTTTTTTTTTTTTAACAAAAAGTTGTTTTCTTATAGGAAACCTGTACTCCTACTGCTGGGAGCACTGGGTGTGAGTGAGGCTGAGCAGTGGCTGTGGCCTGAGTTGGAGAGCTGGGACTCGGAACCGCAGGACCAGACTAACATCTGGGTGAAGCTTCATGACAGAGCAGAGCGCTGGATTGAGTCATGGATCTCCAAATTTAAAGTTAATATCTCTGGGTCACTTCTTGAGTAATGAGTAGTTACTGTCCATTACTGACATTTTTTCCTGTGTCAGAGTGTGTTTGTAGCATTAGCAAAATATCACCTGAATCACTGACCACATTTTAATGAACTTATTGGACGTGCATCTATGATCAAAATTTAGTCAGCCCCAGTTAAGATGGTCTTCACTGCTTTGCGACCTTAGCAGACCAAAAAAAAAATGGGACTTTTACACATATTTATAAATATTAAACTACTTTTGGTAGTAGCAAACTAGTGATCAGCACATTTTCTGAGAGCTATCACATTTTGCACGATCTCACTATATCATTTGAGAAAACTGGCATGAAAGGCTGTGGGTGGGATGTATTCATTCATGGAATTCCAGGCTTTTAATCACAATATTTAAATATTTTGAGTGAACTGACAGGACTCGATGAATAATTTCCATATTATCGTCTTTCACCGTGACCTAAATAGGAACGGATATTGGATGGGAATTTTTTTTGCCGTGCTGTTGTCTGAGAGCCACAGTGATTGATTCATTGCAACAATGTTCAGTCAGGTCATCTGGACGTTTTGTCCTTTATCCAAAGGACTTCTTCAGTCTGAGAAGCCACAAACAAACTGGAATCCCACAAGCAACACACTCCCATAGTGGAAAAAAACAAGTTTGCTGGTGATAAAATGGTTTCTGGGGGCCACCTTCTCCCCCGTCAACTCCTCTAAGGCAGTCATGACAAAATGGTTCGAAACACCCAAGTTCATGCTCATTCAGGTGCAATCCAACAATGGTCAGTCAGGTCATCTGGATGTTTTGCCCTTCATCCAAAGGACTTCCAGTCTGATGAGCCACAAACAAACTGGAATCCCACAAGCAACACACCCGTAGTGGAAAGTTTGCTGGTGATGATTTCTGGATTTCAAAGAAACCATCCAGATGACCCGACTGAACATTGTTGGATTTGTACCTGGATTACTGAGCACGGACTTTGGCACTGACTCATCGCCTTTCCACTTTTCTTTTTCACATCACCAGGAACACGACAGGTATCTGTACCTCAAGAGTACGGAGAAGTGGAAACCTCCCACCTTCGGTGCTGTGGACGTCCTCAATTATTTTTGCTCTGTACAAAAAGAGGCGCACGAGAAGATCATCCGTGTAGTACCTGGCCGCAAAAACACAGTGCTCTTGCCTTTGGGTGACAGGTATGTGAAAGTTACTGTAATATGTAATATGCAGGTTCAATTATTAAATATATATGTTTACAGCAGTTCAAAACCGATTTTTCATCTGGGAGAAACATACACCCAGTCCAGGATACGCGAGCCTCCAGGTAACAAGGCACTATATTTTTCTTAGCTGAAGGGAAAAGGTTTTCCACGAAAACTAAACTGGATTGTTCTCATTTAGGTGTGGTTTTACCTCCTCTACAAAAGCGGCCATTCCTGATGCACTGCCCCCGTTTCATTTCTTTGCCTTTACCTCGACTCACCCTGCGCCTCTTTAACGAGGACTCCAACGAGGACTGGGAGAGGACCCCGAGGCAGCGCCACTTCATTCTGCAGCAGTCTTTGGTCGAGTACTACAGACCATGCCCCAAAAGGCTCGCCTGTAAAAATCACAGTAACATTTAATTCTTATTTGAATCTAAGAAACGACAGCCGCTTATGTCTGATTTATTCGGTGACTTTCAGAATATAAGAGTATTTCGATGGTACGTAGAGGGAAGATTAATTCACACCAGGCGCATGAGTAAAAAATAAATATATATATTCATAAAGATTCCAAAACAGGCACTCAGAAAACACAGCACAAACACAAGTACGATGGTGAACAAAACATAATTTTTAAAAAATATATCTACACCTGTACATATATATTATGTCGTAGCTGCAATTATTTTCGACTGAGTGGTACTCTGTACCAAAATGTTCATTTAGAAAAAAACAATTTTTATTCACAAGTTCTACGTTTTTCTATCTCAGTTACAAATTAATAATTGCTGCCAACAACTGCGTATGTCCCCTATTTAATTGTGTCTCATGAGTATAACCTGGTCAACAAATATTTTGATTATTTATGAAGGTATGGACTATTTTTCATGCACTAGTCATTTGACTGTCAATACTTTTATGTTCTGTTGTGTCGGTGAGTGAACGGAAACAAACCCCCGACCTCTGCTCTACTTCAAGTCTTTATCGTAACTGAACAGGTCACAGGTCAGCAAGAGGTCAGAGCGTCCACTTTCTATAAGCACTCTGTTCAGCTGGCTGCTGGTCGTGTTTATATCTGCATCTTCATTCATAGGCCAATACAACAGCTCGACGCTGGAGGGCAGATCTGGGAGCCCCGGCTCATACAGCTCCAGGGGGTTGGGGTAGAGCAACAGCCGAAGGGAGGGAAGTTTCACTGCCATTCGCACCAGGTCCATTAGTCCCGTCATGGAGAGTGGGATCAAGGTTATAGCTAAGCTCTTTAGTTTCAAGCATCCTCCAATTGAGGGCAGCAAAAGCCCCAGAAGAGCATCAGTCAGGCAACAGCCACTAAGAGTAAGATGCTCCAGGCTGCTGGAAGACTGAGAGAGAAGGCGTCCAATTGAGGGAAGAGTGTTCTCATCGAGACGGTTGTCACTTAGATCCAGCTGCTGCAGTGCGAAGGCGTGATGGCTGCGCGAGAGATAGGCGAAGTCGGCAGGACTCAGGCTCAAATTGGGCAGCTCCAGTAGCTCTAAGGGCAGAGGCAGGGAGCTGTAAGAAAACCAACAAAATCTTTACAAAATAATCATTTAATCTCATTCAGAAACAGCTTTAGGAAAATGGATTTAAATCAGTAAAACCAAATCTGTTCAACTTTACGAAAAGAAAAATAATAGGATCTGTACATACGGAGTGTTTACAGAATACTAAAATAGCAAAAATACAGCAATTATACATTTTTAATTAACATGTCAGCCACGATCAACTGAGCTATAACACAATTTAATGGTAAATGTCATGAAATGTAAAAAATAGTGTTTAAATTGAACAATTTTGCTTTTTAATCATCAAGAAAACAAGATTGTAGTCGATCCAATTGTAAATTTTTGTATTTTAGTAATCATCAAATGGCATTTTGCTTGAAACTGTTGCTTTATGTTTCCATAAATCTAATGTGAAGGACACTGGAGAAAGCTTGACCTTGTGCTAGGTTCACATAAAATGACGTTTTAATATTAGAACTGATGAGGTTAATACCTGAGCAGCACTCGCAGCTGTCCACGCAGCCGCAGACCAGTGAGGCTGAGCCGTCGCAGTCCTTTGAGCTGTGCCAGTCCCTGCGACAGGTCCCTCAATACATCCTCTTGGCCAAGGCGATCTCTGCGAAGGTCCAGGTTACAGTGATACAAGCGAAGGGAGTTCAGTTCAGGAAAGTTGGAAAGATGAGGCAGCAGCTCTGCCAAGCCGGCCGCCCCAAGGTTGCTGTAGCGTACATCGATGCCCAAGAACCCCCTGCAAGGCAGCAGGTTCAGCAGGGTTCTGATATTTGCCACTGATATCTCTTCCACCCGCAGGTATCTGCAATGAACCTTCAAGGGTCCCGATGAGCCAAGGGCCAAGCAAACACACTTTCGAGATCGGGCGTTAACAAAAAGATCAGCTCTAACGTGCACCAGCACATCATCATTTGTCTCTTTTTCTTTCATTTCACTTTTACTTCCTCCTAACCCTGTCGCTGCGGTCTCTCTTCTCCTCTCTAGTTCCATTCTCCTTCTGACACCTTTAATTTGCTCTGCTTCACTTGCAAGACATGGCAATACTAACTTTTCTCTCTTACTACACATACTATCATCGCTGAGCTCTTGTCTCTGTCCTCTTTCTTTTTTCAAATCCCTTTCTCTCTCAAGGTCTGAGAACCGTTTCCTCTCTCTGTCTCCTTCTTTCCTCTGGGTCCTCTGCACTTCAGCTCTGGCCTGGACAACCTTGGTGCAGAGGGCAACAGTCACAGACCAGCCTCCCATTGGGCCCTCCATTCCTCCCTCATCTGCCCGCAGTCCACAGATGTCCAGTACTTGCAGAGCAGACCTAAAGACAAAAAGAAAGCAATACAGAAATGACAAACCATGATTTCATAATAATGGCTTATAAATAAAGCAATAATAGATAAATAAATAAATAAATCTGGTCTAACTCTGAACATTAGGAAACACCTTGTACCTGTGACTTTCCTTCTTTGACTATGGTGACATTATTTAAATGAACGCTCCTGCAAGCACTTTGCAGATGTTGGATGCTGTCTATCACGGTGCGCTAAGATTCATAACTGGTTTTAACTATCGTACCCATCATTGCACTCTGTATACTGGTCAAATGGTCATTAACTTGATGCAGACTCTCACACACTGGTACATTTTCATCTTTAAACCACTTCTTGGTCTGCTGCCTTCTTACATCTCCTCCAACGTGTCACTTTGTCAGTGCAGCTACAGCGTGCGTCCTCAAGACATAATTACCTGCAGCATCCCCTCACTGAGAACCGAACTAGGTAAAAGGGCCTTCTCTTACTCTGCTCCTGTTTCCTGTAACATCTTGCAAAAAGATCTGAAGCGCTCGACCTTGACCTCTCTAAGGGATTTTAAGCTACTGTTAAGGTCAAAGCAAAAATCAATGCGGACATGTTCCTGTTTTTAGTATTTTACACCGTTCTATAATGCAACAAGTTTTTTTATTTTGTTTTATATCACTTTTGTTTTATTTTACATGCTTTTATATGAATGTTTTTTGCTGTGTGCACCTCATCTGTGTCTTTTGTTTAAAACAGGTCTCTCTTGTAAATGAGGTCACTCACCTGTAACCTATAAAAATAATCAATCAATCAATCAACCTTTATTTATACAGGTAAATCCCATTGAGCCTCGAGGACTCATTTACAAGAGAGACCTGATTTCAACAAAGAAAGATGACAACAATGGACAACAGCAACAACAATAAGCAGTTATAAAAACTCATACTACAGTTTTTTTTTGTTTTTTTTTTAACAAATAGGATGGCTAAAAGGAAAAAGGTAACAAAACCAAAAAAAAACTGCTAGATTCCGAGACAAATGTATAAAACTAAAAACAGGAACATGTCTGCATTGGTCCCTGCCAGGAGTCCAACAGATTCTTAAAGCCACTTAGAGAGGTCAAGGTCGAGAGCTTCAAATCTTTTTGTAAGATATTCCAGGAAACAGGAGCGGAGTAGGAGAAGGCCCTTTTGCCTAGTTCAGTCCTCACTGAGGGAACACTGCAGGTAATAATGTCCTGAGAGCGCACTCCGTAGCTGCACTCACGCAGAGACATGTAGGAGGAGATGTATGAAGGCAGCAGACCAAGAAGTGATTTAAAGATGAAAATGTACCAGTGAGAGAGTCTGCGTGAAGTTAATGATGTCCAGTTAACCAGTGAAAACAGGGTGCAGTGGTGGGTACGATAATCACAGCCAGTTATGAATCTTAGTGCACCATGATAGACAGCATCCAACATCTGCAGGGTTCTTGTAGGAGCGTTCATGTAAATAATATCACCAAAATCAATTGAGGGAAGGAAAGTCACAGATACAAGGCGTTTTCTAGCATTCAGGGTTAGACAGGATCTGTTTCTGAAAAAGAAACCCAGTTTAATTTTCAGTTTCTTTACCAAGTTTTCCACATGGAGCTTAAAAGAAAGATGTGAGTCGACCAAGATACCCAAATATTTATAGGAATCAACAAACTCAATGGGGACACCATTTGAGGATAAAATCGGAGGAAGAACTGCTGGGACCAACTTCCTATTTGAAAAAAGCATCCCTTTGGTTTTTTCGGCATTTAGGACAAGTTTGAGGTGAAACAAATCAGTCTGGATGATGTTAAATGCAGATTTCAGAAGCTGGAAAGCCTTAGCAACTGTTTTAGCTCGACAATAAACAACTGTGTCATCAGCATAGAAATGTATGGATGCATTAGGGATGTTTTTACCTACATTATGTATGTAGATTGTAAAGAGGGTGGGTCCTAAGACTGAGCCTTGTGGTACACCATTGTTGACTGTTAAATAACTGGAGGAAGTACCATTATGTTGAACACATTGCCTCCGGTCTGAAAGATAGTTAGAGAACCAACCAATGGTGTGATCTGAGAAACCGATTTCTGAGAGTTTATGACACAAGATGTTATGATCCACAGTGTCAAAAGCTTTAGACAGGTCTAAGAAAAGTGCAGCACAATAATCCTTAGCATCCAGTGCTTCAACAACATCATTAAGAACCTTCAGTGAAGCAGTGGTTGTGCTGTGTTGTTTCCTGAAACCAGATTGATGTGGAGGTAAGATGTTAAATGAGTCCAGGTAATTTTTGATTTGAGAGTTTATCAGTTTTTCTAGAACCTTGGCTAAAATGCAGTTTAGAGATTGGTCGATAGTTGTTCAGTGAGGTGGGGTCACCTCCCTTCAGCAAAGGAAGAACAAAGGCTGTTTTCCAAGTGTCTGGGATGGAGTTTTGTCTTATGGAGAGATTGAAGATGTGGGTCACAGGGACTGTGATGATATGAGCAGCCAGCCTTAAGAAATAAGGTGGAAGTTCATCTGGACCTGCAGATTTTTTAGGATCAAGATCTTTTAACAGTTTATTGACCTCACTGACTGAGAATGGAGAAAAAGAGAAGCTGTGATTAACTGAGGATTGACTTGTAGGAGGGATTTGATTTGTAGAAGTTTGGTTATTAAGTGAAGTGGCTGATTTTCCATTAGTTACTGTGTCAAATAAAGAACTAGAAGCAACAAAATGTTTGTTGAGACAGTTCAGGATCTCGTGCTTATTTGACACAGGAGCAGAGTTAACGAGAAGTTGTGATGGGAGGTCAGATGATTGGGGGGGTGCCTGAGAGAGATTTAATTGTTTTCCAGAATCTGTTAGGGTCATTTAGATTTTTGGAGGTCTGAGATAAGAAATAGTTTCGTTTTGCTGCTTTGACAGCAGTTGTGCATTTATTCCTCATCTGTCGAAAACTCAACCAATCAGTGTCTGAGTCAGATTTTCTCGCTGCGGCCCAAAGAAGATCTCTCCTGTGCAGGAGGTCAGCTAGCTCTGGAGTAAACCAGGGGCTGTCTCGTCCCTTTATTCTGAACTGACGAAAAGGAGCATGTAAGTTCAGGAAATAAATGAAATTATTATGGAAATAGTTCCAAGCAGAGTTCACGTCATCAGTTAACAGAATACGATGCCAGTCAAAGTGAGACAGATCCCAGAGGAATGACTGTTCACAGAAATGTTTCAGATCCCTTTTTTTAATTAATCTGGGCTTAGAAGGTGGAAGTTTACTATTTCTTAAAGCCGCTGTCACACAATGATCACTCAAAAGATCAGCGAATACACCTGTACCAGGGAATTTGTGAGGCATATTAGTTAGAAACAGGTCTAAGATGGAGGAATTGTCAGGATGGCTTTTATTTAATCTGGTGGGGGAGTCGATCAGTTGGGTTAAATTAAAAGACAAGCAACATTCCTTGAATTTGTCACAGAGGGGGGTCGACTTACACCAATCAATGTTGAGATCTCCAGCCAAAAAGATCTCTTTGAATTTTAAATTACCAAGGAATTCCTTAATGGCATTTAATGCTTCAGGTGAAGCTGTGGGGGGGGCGGTAGCAGCAGACTACAGTTAAAACCTGGCCTCCATTCAAGGTGATGTTTACAGATAAGGCTTCAAACTGGTTTGGAATTGTTTTGAAAGTCACAAGACTTGAAACCAGAGTGTCTCTAATGTAAATAATGACTCCACCCCCCCTTTTTTGACGATCACAGCGGTAGATGTTAAACCCATTGATTGCCACGTCATTATTCATTACAGATTTGTTGAGCCAGGACTCAGAAATAAAGATAACATCTGCCCCAGAAGAACTGACCAGGATTTTCACAGCATCAAGTTTTTTCAGAAGGCTACGAGCGTTTACATGCAGAAAATGGAGCCCAGAGGCGTTTTTAAAGTCATTTGGTGTGCTGTAATTAGTGGGGGGTTGAATTGGGTTGAATTCCTGAGAGCAATAACAACATTATTATCAGACATTTTCTTGAGTTTTTTGTGACTGATGTGTAATTACAGGAGTTAACAGTGTGACAATTAGCCCCCATAATCGAACCATGAGAAACATTAATGAAGACGCGATCATTCAGAACCCAAAAACAGTGAAAGTTGCAGTGATGGACAGATTCAGGTGTATTAACAAGATTCAGTGACTCCAGATAATCCAGATAATAATAATAAAGGCTGTGTGAATGAATGAAGGTACTGTGAAAATAAAAAAAGTAAACACCAAGTTTTGTGGGATACTCAAAAGCAAAAAAACTGGTCAGATTACAATAAAACATCCCTTTTTGAAATATTCATAAAGGGGGAAACGATGCGTTTCACGTTTAAGTTAAAATTACATGCATTGTTTAACATGAAATTAAAATGCAATACCAAACAGAGGGACATCAACACAGTGTCTAACCTTTGGTCTAGGAGTCCTTTGACAACGGCGAGCAGCAGAGCCTGAATACAGAGCCGATTTGGAGCAGTGTGACCCGGTTCTGTGCGGCCTCCGACGCGGAGGCTCCGCTCGGGCCACCGCTGCACCAGCTCGAGCACGGCCAGCGGTCTGCGGCCGTCGAAGGCGGCCTCCAACAGGGCTCCGTACAGCTCCCGGGGCATACACCTCAGCCAGCTGGGGGACAAGCTGTGGTCACTCACCAACTCCCTGGCACACAGCCTCACCAAGGAGAGCACCATTTTAGCGAAAAGCAGGTAAAAAAAAAACAAACAAAAACGTAGCAGGAAACAGACTTTGAAATGTTCTTGTGTAAGCTAGCAGCTCAGCTAAAGTTAGAAAAACCGTCTAACTTTAAGGCCGTTGCCTTGAAATGCTTAAAACATATTTTATAACATCATTTGATAGCTTCCGCCCTGAAAACAAATCAAAAATCACTTGCACCGAGTTGTCTGAGGATCGTTTGTTTTTAATTTTTATTTTCTTCTTCTTCTCTTTAATGGCAGATCGCAAACAGCTAGGGGTGCTTCTACCGCCACCTGCTGTACACAAGTTGTAACTGCAATTATTGTTTTACTTAAGTGTGTAACTACACAGATATGATATAAACACTTTATATATTATATTTTTTTCATTTTCATTTAGCCTTTATTTATCCAGGTTAGTCTCATTGAGCCACGAGAACTCATTTTCAAGAGAGACCTGTTTAGGGAGCACATGGTGGGGTTAAGGGCCTTGCTCATGGGCCCAGAGTGGGGCGAATGAGGGTGGGGGCAAGTGTGGGTGTTTCACCTACCCCACCCACAATTTTTGATGTTGTCGGGGCCGGGGCGTGAACCGGCGATCTTCGGATCACAAGCCCACCTCTCTAACCTCTGCGCCACCACTCCCCGCATTATATATTATATATATTAGTTTATTTATTTATATATGATATATATGTGTAACTGTAAATTTTTTAACTTTTTTTTTTTTTTTACTTAAATGTGTAACTGTAAAACTTTTTTTTTTCTTTAACCAAAACCTCCACGTATTAAATTATTCCATACATCCATTATCTTTTACCTGCTTCTTCCTTTTCGGGTCATGGGGCGTCACTGGTGCCCAAACAGCCACTGTGTGAGAGGTGGGGGACACCCTGGACAGGTCTCCAGTCCATCACAGGGACATATAGAGACAAGCGAGATAAACAACCATTCACTCTTTCACTCACACCTAGAGACAATTTAGTTACCAATCAGCCTAACATGTATGTTTTTTGTCTGTGGGAGGAAACCGGAGTACCTGGAGAAAACCCACGCATGCATGGAAAGTCCATAAAATGGACAAAGTGCCCCAGCCGGGATTCAAGCCGTCAACCTTTTCACTGTATGGCGGCAGCAACTTCATCACTCTGCTGCACCGTCCTAAATTCAATTTTTCGTTTTGTGTTATGGCTTTCTGATTTATTTGTTTCCTTTTGTTCCCAAGATTCTCGCTCTGCCTCTCGTACCGTTTCCCTCAACCCCTTCTTTAAGAAATGAAACTACAAAATATCTGGTCATTGTTTAAGAAAATGAGCGGGGAAAGAGGTGCAGATCAAATTCCAGCAATAGTTAGAGATCAGGGGGTAATAGTGTTAACTACAGATAGGGATGATGCTCCGGGTGGGGTACTTGCTGCAGTACATAGTGGAGAACATCTTGGAAATATATAGGCAGCAGAATAAAACAGAAACGCAAAGATTTTATTGATATAAGAGAGAAGAGAGGAAGCTCTATGTCAACACTAAACGAGGATATAAAAGAACCCAAATCAGTACTAAAAGTTTTTTTAAGGATGCTCAGCTCCAGTGGAGGACCATCTATGTTGACAATTTAAAAAACGCTTTATAAATTATTTCATGAAATTTGAAGAGAAGGTGCAGTTCTGAACATGAACGAACTGATGATTATTGTATTTTCTGACATAACAAATGTAGACCCAGTGTGGAAAGAAGGGCTGCTCATAAAGTTCAGTTAAATGAGAATAAGTAAGAAGATGAATAATTGGTTGGTACATTTAGGCGGCTATTCAAGAATTTATTTTCAAACCTATATGCGTGTTTTAAATCCGCACTAAATGTAGATGATGGGTTCATATGGACGAGGGGAAGAAAGGTTGAATGAATGAATGAATGTAGAAACCATAAAGACAGCAGTTATTGAAATATAGAAATGGTCACATAAATGGGGTTTCAAGTTTTCAGTAAGCAAGTCCTGCAATAAGATGATAACACATAAGAGACGGACCAATTTAGAAAAACTAACATTACATGGACATCCTCTAATGTGGAATGTGTTGATGAAAAGGGTTGTGCATGCAGCTAAGTCTATGGAACAGCAATATAGTCTCTCCATATTTTCTTTTTTTTGCATTCTCACTGATCTTGTGAGTCACAAGCCTTTTTCTTTTTGTAATCCTTAACATCTTGTCATGTTTTACATTCATTATTCCATCACCAAAAATGTCACAACTGAACATTAGACCACCACTTTATATTTTTCTTACAGAAATACGCTGAGATGCTTTCCATTCCTTCGAAAACCTTGTTTGATTTGAACTCTGCTTTAGCATGCTTGCTTTTTATTGTCTTCTCATTTTAACAGGTCTCACCTTCTATTGTAGTTGGCTAGCTTTTTGCTTATTTTAGCTTTTAGCTAGTGTTTTGATACACTGAACTTTTTAGCTAGCCCTTTGTCACTTTTAGCTAGTGTTGTGCTACTTTTATCTTTTAGTGCTTGACATCCTTTAGCTTTAACCGCCCAATTGCAGCTTTTGCAACAAATTTCTGTGAAGTCTACTCAGCATTCACTTTGTCTATTTTTTTTGTTTGTTTTCTTGCTGAGCTCAGTAAATATAATAAAAATGGAAATAAACAAAATGCGGTATAGTTTGCCAAGCCCCATATAAATAAATGGAGTAAATGTTTCTATTACTTGGACCATTATTAAAACATCACATGGCTTTAGCATTCAGACCACATTTTGTGCAAAGTGGTTTAGTAGTTTAAACTAAAATACACTTGAGGGGCCGAATTTTTATGGCATTAGAAAAAAAAAGTTACATAACCTTAGCTTATTTGGTGCAAACTGATTTCAACAGTATCTTGTTACATTTTTAATTTTTACAGGACTGCTGCTGCTCCATACTGCATCATTTTATAATTTTATTCTGAATTATTTCAACTGTCTTTTCCTATTCAAATAAAGGCTTTATATTATGACTTAAATGCTACTTTTGTACCGTGTCCATTGAAAGTGCTTAGATTGATTTTAAAAGCAAGCAGGCAGACATCCAATAGTCACACATTCGACATAAGATGTGTCCATAATAAATTGTAAAAGCCCAAAATTGCACATAAAAGTAATATTTCATAGGGACGATGAACAGGAATGATCTGGAAATAAATAAAAACATTTGTTTTTCTGTTTACTGGGGTAAAAGAATAGCCACTAGACGGTGCTAAAGGATAATAAGTGAAGCTGGCACGCTTCAATGGTTCTTTAACTGTACTATTTACCAGACACAAATCAATAAGTTGTTTATTATGTGTGGGGGTTTTCATACATTTTCAATAAAGAAAACTGGCCTTGTTAGATTTACTTTGAGTTTTTTTCTAATCCTTTAAACCAGCGGTGTCAAACTCACTTATAAAAGGGTGCCAAAATTAAAACCTTTTTCAAACTAAATAAGAGCCAATTTCAGAAACTGCATGAACTCAAATCAGATACCCAGCATCTTTTATTGGTCGCAGGTTCCTCACTAAGAGTTTGACTGGTCTCATTTGATGTTCTCTGTTGTGCTTTCGACAGCATAATTAAAGATTACCGAAAAAATTCAAGAAACAGAAGTATTTTAATTTTCGCATATCATCTTGGGGGCCGTATAAGATGTCAGCGAGGGCCACATTTGGCCCCCGGGCCTTGAATTTGACACATATGTTTTAAATAAATGTCAAATTGAATGAAGCCACAAACAGGTTTTAATACACATTTCATTGCACACATAATAAATCGAATTCGTCTTGAATTTTATTTGTTATTATGTTATTTAATTCTACACCACCTTACAATCTAGCTGTTTTTTCGCTACTTTAATTATCCTTTTAATTACAATTTTATTTTCACTTGTCAAAAAAATAAATAAAATTGTACGCACCCTTTATGATTGTCTGTTGTTGTCCACTGTTGTCATCACTCTTTGTTTAAATTCAGGTCTCTCTTGTAAGCGAGTCCCCGAGGCTCAATGGGATTAACCTGTATAAATAAAGGTTGACTGACTGAATCTAAATGCTTAAAAAGAAAATGTGTGGATTTTTTCCCTTTAAATGTTTAGTTGCGTTTTGTCTGAACAATTTTAATTTTTATATCATTACAGAGTGGAAGATTGGGTGCCCATGCCTTGTTTTTTTTTTTGTCTTATAATAAGAAGAACCATTTTAGATTATGTTCCCTCTATTCCAGAAGGAGCTGCCAAAAGTAAACTTAATGATATTTGATGTGGGAAAAAAATGCAATATGTCCCATGGGCCAGCTTTGGTAAGCTAGGGGCAGAGCGCCAAAGTGCCATAGCCTCCAACCCATATGGCCCCTCCTGCAGGTGGTGGGCCCACAGGAAGGTAAACCCATGTAGCTCTTAACTGGGCTCTGTGGCTAGAGGTCTGGTCACCAGGTGCAGCTCCTTGCCCAGAGTGGGGACTAGGTATCCCACGTCCAAAGCAAGGGAAATTGCTCTTCTTGGTTTCAAGAGCGGCTTCGGATGTTATCAGTCCATTAAATGGCCGTTATTAGTTGTTATCATCCCCATATGTAGCAGTCAAACTGTCCCACCTACCTCCTAGTAGGTTTAAAGGTACGTTATTATCCTTATTATTGCTGATAATAGGTGTCGTCGCAGGGGAGTAAACCAGGAAGTGTCTTTTTAGTTGTTTTCAGCTTATGTAACCTTTTCCTAAACGTAAGCTTACACCTGACCCTGAGGACCAATCCTAAACTTAACCCCCTTACCCATGTGCCTAAACCTAACCAAGACCCTAAAACCAACCGCCAGACCCTTTACTCTAAACCTAACCACGTGAATCAATTATGAGCGCTAACAACGCTAACAATGTACCTTTAAACCCACTAGGAGGTACAGGAGGGGCAGTCTGACCGCTGATAACAACTAATAAGCCATTTAATGGCTGATAACATCCGAAGCGGTTGGTTTCGAATGGTGACCA